AGTCTGCAATCGAGATATCATCAATTATTGAAAGAGTGTTCAAATCACTTACTATAATTGTGGATTTTCCTATTATTCCTTGTAGTTGTATTAGTTTTTGCTTCACACACCTTAAAGATATATTTTAAGGTGAATAGCATTTAGTATTTTATGTCGTTTTGATGAATTGGCCCCTCTATCATTATGAAGCTGACAGAGAGGATATAGATAGTTAAAATCACTATCAACGAACTTGACCTAATTACTATTAGGTTTGATTTGGGGATTTTTAATACCTCTAGTTGACATGTTTAATCTTTCCTCTAACTTCTTGAATATATGGAATACAGTTGTAAGAACTATTTTGTCGTCTTTGTTTACTAATTCTATTATCGGTGTCATTTCTCACCTGATTCCATTGATTGATTTTTCTCCTCTTTATGGGTCATATATTTCTGCTTCTTTCCCTGCCTGGTAATTTTTGATTGGATGTCTTTTGGGATCAGGAATAATTTTATATTCTTAAAATATTTCTGAGGTTTTCTCTGGACGCAATTAAATTTGATTATTTTTGGTCCTTCTTTTAATCAGATTTTAGTGTGGGGTTAATTTCCTCCCAGCACTAAGGCAAAACTCTCTTGAATGCTCTATCTGATATCCTGTAAGTTATGAGGTTGAATGCTCTGGCTGGTTGGAACCAGAACTGTTTCTATACCTGTGTGAATTCCAGGGATTGCTTCCTTTCAGGTGGCCCAGGATTGGATGGTTTTCTCACACACACGCTCTGGTAATTACTGAGCTGAAGACTAGAGGATCCTCGAGGGGTCTCTGGAGACCTCTCTCTTTTTCTCTGGGCAGCTCTCTCCTCTCTAACATTCTACTCTGTAAACCATATCTGCTTTGATCTCACGGGACTCCCAGTTCTGTTCTCTTCAACACTGGGGGACATCAGGCTCCAAATGGCTTCTTTCTTCCTGTGTTGTGACCTGGAATTTCTCTCAAGGCAATAAGGTGGGTCAGTCATAGAGCTCATCTTATTCATTAATCAGATCTCAAGAATCACTGTCCCTCGTTGCCCAATGTCTAATGTCTCCAAAACTGTTGATTCATACATTTTGTCTGGCTGTTTAGTTATTTCAGGTGGGAAAGAGCTGTTTCAGATGGAGTGACAGGAGCTCTGTTGACCTGTTCCTGTTATAGTTCCTGTTACTCCATCTTGGCCAGAAGTGGAAGTCCTAGTCCGAGATAGTTTACCCACAAGTTCTATCAAACATTCACGGGACAATAATAAAAAAATAATAACAAAAATTTCAGCTTACACAAATTCTCTCAGAAATGATAAAAAGGGAATATTTCCCCATCCATCTTTTGGGGTCAGCATAACTTGGCTTCAAAGCCCAAAGAGGACACGATTGGGAAGACTAATCTCACTTAGGAACATAGATATGTGAATCTTAGACACATTGTTGGCGCAGAAAATCCAGAAATATATAAAAATGTTAATACTTTGTCACTAAATTGGTTTTATCACAGGAATGCAGGTTTGATTTAAAATTAGAAAATCAGTTAATATAATTTGCCATATTAATAGTTTCTGGTTAAAAAACACAAAAATTAATAGCATTTTTAGGCATCGGAAGTAAAAAAACATAATTTTTAAAAGCACACTATTGGACTTTTGGGGTAAAATACACTCATCTTTAGTCATTCATGCCTCAAATCCCACTTAAACTACAGCAACCAAGGAGTTTTTTTTTTTTTTAAAGTCATAAACTAATAAAGGGAGAATGAGGTGCAGAAGACAATAACAATGTGGAAGCTAGAAAGCAGATAGATGGGTTGGAAATACAGTAACAGACTAAAGAAAAGTGAATTAAAGCTGACAGCGGGAAAAACCAAGAACTAACCCAATTTAAACCACAGAATAAATAAGAACGCAGAATCCGGTGGTACCATGTCCATCTAGAAATAAGGAGAAATGTGGAAGAGTTAAAACGTGGAGTTTTGGTTGAAAGGATGTTTAAGAACCAAATCCTTAGATGCTCTGTCTCTTCTCCCTTTTATACGGATAGCCATCACCTTAAGCCTACAATACTACAATACCCTAATCATGACAAAAGGCTTAAAGACTTTCTCTAGCAAGGATGATACAGAAGGCCTCGGGACTCGGGGACCCCAAGCATCATTGAAAGTAAGTTTAATAAACACAGAGTATGAGGCTTAACTGAAGCATGCAAACTGCTTGCCGGAAAACCCTTTAACCTCCAGCTTTCATTCCCCACTTAGCCCTCAAAATTTCTAGCAGGAGATTAATAGAGAAGCAGAAAATATCTGAAGATACTGACATTGGCATTTCTCCACTGAATGGCCCAGTCAAATCATCTTACTGTCAGTGACACAACTGGCAAGGCCCATCCATGTGCTTAGAGCTTCAGTCAGCATTTTAGCCCCTCACTCTCAAATATCAACAAATAAATATTATCATTGAAGTCTCTCTTATGACAAATAGAGACCAAAAGCAACTAGAACAAAGCACTCATGGAGTTTCTAATAAGCTTTGCAATGGCACACTGTTATATCTGAGTCCATAGTTAAGGATGATCAGTCATACGATCCTTGATTGGAGGAAAACACCTCATAAAATAGACCAACCAACCAACCAGCAACTTATAGGAAACAGATAATGCAGGGAGGAAAATGTCATTAAAATCCTCAGAGAAATTAGAGAAGTTACTATAACCATGAAACAAGAATAGGATGCTATAAAAAGGAAAAGCCAGGCAATAAGTAAGAACTCTTAGAAATTAAAAATATGATAGCATAAAATGGAAAAGAAAGATTAACAGTGGGCCGGCCCGGTGGTGTAGTGGTTAGGTTCATGGGCTCTGCTTAAGTGGCCCGGGGTTCACAGGTTTGGATCCCAGGTGCAGACCTATGCACTGCTCATCAAGCCAGCTGTGGTGGTGTCCCACATACAAAATAGGGGAAGCTGGGCACCGATGTTAGCACAGGGCCAATCTTCCTCACCAAAAACAAACAAAAAAAAACAAAAAAAAACAAAAAAGGGAAAGATTAATAGAAAGGTTGGAAGATAAATTTGTTAAAAACATCCCAGAAACTAGAGGAAAAAACCCAAAGGAATGGAAAGCAAGAGAGAAAATATAAAAAAATTAGAGAATCAGTCCGAGGAGCCCAACATCTGAAAAATAAGAATTCCAGAAGTAGAGAACAGAAAAATAAAATGAAGGGGAAGAAATTACCAAAGAAATCCTATAGAACAATGGACAAAAATATAAATAGACAATTCACAAAGAAAGATAAAAAAGGGCTTTTAAGTATATGAAATGAGGGGCTGGCCCCGTGGCCGAGTGGTTAAGTTCGCGCACTCCACTGCAGGCGGCCCAGTGTTTCGTTGGTTTGAATCCTGGGCGCAGACATGGCACTGCTCATCAAACCACGCTGAGGCAGCGTCCCACATGCCACAACTAGAAGGACCCACAACGAAGAATATGCAACTATGTACCAGGGGGCTTTGGGGAGAAAAGGAAAAAAATAAAATCTTTAAAAAAAAAAAAAGTATATGAAATGATGTTCAATTTCGCTCACAATAGGAATTTCAAAAAATTGTCTCTTGTGGGTTGATTTATGTGCCCCTGCAAAAGACATCTTCAAATCCTAACCCCAAGTACCTGTGAATGTGAAACAGTGTCTTACCGTGTAAGCATAGGGTCTTCCATGCTCCTTCATTAGTATCCCATGGACCCCATTCCCGAAATTGTGTGGTCTGTTGTGACCCACTCAAGGATCTTGGGGAGAATACTAAGCCTTTATAATAACCAGAGCAAATCTTTGTGCATCAGCTATACAAGGAGCAGGTCCAAAGTGGGACCGTGGTTTGCCAAGTGCCATATAGCCTATTGGACGTAAGTATCAAGGGAAGAGGCCTCTGATCCCAGTGTGTAAAGAGAGTTGAAGCCTGATGAGGGCAGCCTTGAGAATCCTTACGTGTAAACTCAATTAGCCTGGCCTGTACTGGTGGTGAAAACACGGAGTTCTGCAGCATTCCATTTTCTGTGCTTTTTTAGCATTCAGAGAACCCACGCATATGAGGATTCTGTTGATCTCTGCAGCCCATCTATTCCTATCTGCTCATGGGTGAGATTGAAGCCCAGAGAGGGAAAGTGACTGTCCCAAGGTCACACAGCAATTGAGTGGCACAGCTACCACATGTTGCTGATTATTTTCAACTCTTCCCTCTCTCACCCTCAATGCCAAAATCCTCCCTGAAGCAAAGCATTTTAGGCAGTGGGGCCTCTTCTCTTAGAGAGAAGATAATCAGAGAAACACATTCTTCCCAATGTCTGAATGAACGTCTTCCTTTCTCTACTCCCCCATTCCCAAATTGAAAAGTTACATTTTAAAAAAAGGAGTTTGCTTAACTTACGTTAAAACTGTGACAAAGGTGGTTCTCTAGACCAGATAATGTAGGGCTTTCTAGGGCTTAGTAAAGACTGCATTATTTTGGGTCTGGCCCCGTGGCCTAGTGGTTAAGTTCACACGCTCTGCTTTGGCGGCCCAGGGTTTCACCAGTTTGAATGCTGGGCACGGACATGGCACCGCTCATCAGGCCATGCTGGGGTGGCGTCCCACATGCCACAACTGGAAGGACCCACAACTAAAAACACACAGCTATGTACCGGGGGGCTTTGGGAGAAAAAGGAAAAATAAAATCTTTAAAAAAAAAAGACTGCATTTTTTTCTATGTGTGACATGGAGTCTTGGAGGGTTTCAAGTTATAACAAGGGCTGACATATGTTTAAAAAAAAAATCCTTCTGGCTGTTGTATGATTTCTCCCTGCTGGTCCCTAAAAGACGTTGGGCAAAGGGAGGCGCATCAGCTCGGGGATGTGTGGTCCCTCTGTGGTGGGGGGCATTGGGATAGTGGCTGAGAAGTCCGAGGGAGGCAGGCTGTTCCAGGGCGGGCTGTTCCCGTGGGCAGCTGAGGGCACGTGTAGGTGACATCTGTCCCAGTTGATTAGAGGGAGAAGAGAGCCCAGAGCTCTCCTCCATTTGTCGTCAACTCACCAGACCTGAGACTACTCCTGGGGCTGGCTGAAGTCATGAAGCCTTTCCTGCTGACTCTGGCGGTGCTGCTGCTCTTGTCCCAGGTCATTCCAGGTAACCTGGACCTCTTCAGGGGGTGAGGGGTGGAGAGTGGGTCTTGGTCAGGGCGCTCCAGGGCCTGGGAGGATGGGCTGGCAGGTGGCAGGTGAAACACCTCTCATCTGGGGAAGAGAGGAGAGCCCCCAAATCCTGGGTTAGACCCCGCCCCACCATTCACTAGCTCTGTGATATCCCCGGGAAACTCCTTGGCTCCTTTGAGCTTCAATTTACTCATTTATCAATTTGAAATCATAAATCAGGTTGAAGGATTAACACTGAACACACTGAAACTTTGCTCTGCAAATGTAGCTTCTTTATTTTTTAAACCCACAGAATAGGGGAACCGGCACCCAGACAGCCAGCTTCGCTGGTGGCAGGTGCCAGACCTCAGGCACCAACAATGACCCCAGACTTTTCCCTTATTCCCTCGGACCCCCTCTCTTTGGTCAGCTCCAAGGGTCAGGGGCAGGTAGTCTAGGTTGTGAGGGGCGTGGGGGAGGTCAGCGAAAGCATGGAAAGTGACCTTTTCTCACGATAACCCCTTGGATTTCACACTATTCACAACTGCCTTAAGGGAGACGGAATCTCATGATTACCATTGCCTGTCTGTGCCAGCCCCTGAACTAGAGCCGTGGAAAGGTTTTAAGTAGAGAAGGGCCCTAGTCAGACTTTCCCAGCGCAGGGTGCTAGGACCGTCTACCCCTTCTCATCTGACCGGAGCTTCCATCCCCACCACGCTCCAGGCATCTCCCTGACGTTTCCTCAGGGTCAGGACCTGAGCGCGCTGCTTGGGAACACTCTGGACTCACACCTTGTGTCTGCTCATGGTAGACACACACACGAAACACCATTCACCTGGGGAGGAGGGAAGGCCCTCCAAATCCCAGGTGAGAACCTGCTCCACCGTTTATTAGCTCTGTGACCCCCAGTAAGCTACTTGGTTGCTCTGAGTTCCAATCTACTTGTTTCTCTATTTGAAATAATGTATTAGATTGAGAGGTCAACATGGAATACACTGAAATTTTGGTGTGCAACAAACAACTGTAGCTTCTCTATTTTCTATAACTCATCTGAACTTTCCCAGGAACTTCCATCCTGCTGGTAGGAAAGTTGGAGCTTGCAAAGGGCACGCGGGCTGCAGATAAACTCAGCAGATAATTACATATCTTTTCTGGTTTAAAACACCCTCAGATTAATTTACTCTGCTTTGAGTGAATGTTTAGTCTTTCAGTGTTTCTGCTTTTACCCTCCTCTCTCCCTTTTCCTTCCCATCTTGGCAGCTGGATTTAGAGGACGGTGGATATGTCATTACTTAGTTAAATAATTCATTTATTCAATAAATATTGTTAGTGGATTCCAGGGGCCGGGCACTGTGACAGGTGCTGGAGACAGAGCAGTGAACCGACCACCCGCCCACACCCCACCCACCAACCAGTCACACAAACAAGATCCTTGTCCTCTCAGATCTTACATTCCGTGGGGAGGAGGGAGGCAGCGACAGAGTAAACAGGGGAGGGGATAGCAAATATCAGAGGAGCGGATTTGCTTTTTAAAAAGGGCTGTTAAGGAACTTCCTCACTGAAAAGGTGACATTTGAACAAGATGAAGGAATTGAGGGGCGAGCCATGCGGATACGTTGGGAAGAGCATTCACGTATTAGCAGAACCACTTATAAAGAGATGCTTCACTTCATCTACTTTTGGTTACCTTTGGGTTTAGAAGGTTCAGAGAACACAGGGTAAATGCTTGACCCTGTCTTTGCCCATCAGTTTGCAAGATAATGAAATTGTTATTTGTCAGCCTCTGAGGTTGAGCCATTAGATTTTCTGAAATATTATTTTGAACTTATGGTTCTATGCCACGAGTGCAATCTATTGCAGTTATCCCTATGGAAACACAAATTTCCCTCTTCTTGACCAGTGGCAATCTCTTCACTTTGGCTCTTGAGTGTTTTGATACATCTCTACCAGTCTTTGATAGCTTCCTTTGTATCTAGTATGGCAGAATATTTCAGGCTCATCTTATAATTTCCCGCCCAAGACCCAGAATAAGCCATATCTCCAAGAAGCCCTGGTTTCTTTTATTTCAGTGGGAAATGGTATTTTAAGACTACAATATGGGTGCCAGGGATACTAATTTCTATTGGTTGGTCAATGCAATGTTTCTAGCCTTTTTCAGTGACTAGAGCTGAAAAAATTCTATGATCTATCTATCTATCATCAATCATCTATCTATCTCTCACTCACATATTTAAAAATAAAATACCTGTGAGTTTATACTGGTACTTTCAATTCAAATTGAGAACTCAGATTCAAAACCAACTTCCTCTATTCACATCAGTATCTTTTTTCTTATACTGAGAATTCTGATTCTCAAGGTCACAGAAGACGATAGAATTAGAATATCCCATAATCACTCATTTGATTTACTCTTCATTACATATATAATAGTTTAAGTGTAGTAATACCACCACAACATGATCATTCAAACTAGTTAAAATTTCTGCATTTGCTCTCACCATTATTCTCCCATTTTGATATGTTACTGTATCTATATTGTCAGAACATATAGCCGTTACATACTCTGCTCCCTCCTTTTAACCCTCATTAATTCTAGTTCTACAGGCAACTTTATATTTAATGTTTGTTACCAGTCCTGTGTCAAAGCCTCCCTCCTTTGTTTGTCCAAAACTCTTTCCCTAGTAGATTCCTTAGGAAGGGCTCATGGGAACAATATTTCCTGAGTTTCAGTATGTTGATAACAGTTTGTTTTTGTCCCTTGTACTTGCAAGTCAGTTTTGTCAGATGTAACATTGTTTGCCCACTTTTTCTTGACTTGAGTGTCTTTTTTTTTTTTTTTTTTTTGAGGAAGATTAGCCCTGAGCTAACTACAGCCAGTCCTCCTCTTTTTTTTTGCTGAGGGAGACTGGCCCCGAGCTAACATTCATGCCCATCTTCCTTTACTTTATATGTGGGACGCCTACCACAGCATGGCGTGCCAAGTGGTGTCATGTCTGCACCCGGGATCCGAACTGGCGAACCCCGGGCCGCCGAGAAGCAGAACGTGTGAACTTAACCGCTGCGCCACCGGGCTGGCCCTGACTTGAGTGTCTTAAATATATGACTCCATTTTTTTTCCTCTGGCATAAAGCATCGTCAAATGTGTCTAGTTTTTATTTTTTTATTTTTTAAAGATTGGCGCTTGAGCTAACATCTGTTGCAAATCTTTTTTTTTTTCCTTTGCTGCTTCTTCTCCCCAAAGTACCCCTGGTACGTAGTTGTATATTCTAGTTATAGGTCCTTCTGGTTGTGCTGTGTGGGATGTTGCCGCAGCATGGCCTGATGAGCAGTCCCATGTCCGCGTGCAGGATCTGAACCAGTGAAACGCGGGCCACTGAAGGGGAGCGCACAAACTTAACCACTCGGCCACGGGGCTGGGCCCTCTAATTTTTTTTTTTAACAAAAAAGTATAGTTTAATTTTTTTCCCTTATGTCACTTTGTATTTTTTTGGCCTGAATGCCCAAAACATTCTTTTTCTTTAATGTTCAGTAATTTTACTGGAATATAACTTGCTTTGGGTCAGTATTCTCAAGTATGCCATAGATGCTTTCAGTATATGTTTTCAAATCTTTTTCTATTTTGGCAAAATGTATTGAGCGGTTTGTAGTATTTGTTCTGGTCCCTTGATTTTGTTTTCTTCTTTAGTGGTTCCTATTATTTGTATAGGATTTCTTTTGCCTATCATCAATATTTGGAATTTTCTGTTGATTCCTTTTTATCTCTTTCTTCCTTTCTTTTTGATTAAAACATCCTCTTTTCATCCTGTATTTCTATTAAGCTACTACCTCTTGTGTTTATTTGATCATGTGTTTCTTCTAGTTTAGTCTTTACTTATGAAATGATTTTTAAAATTTATAATTTGTTCTGAGGTCCTGTCATGTCATATCTGAATTTATTTAAAGCTAGTGGTTTTTATACATTATTTCACTTAATCCCCACAACAGTGCTCTGAGGTGGGTGCAATCTGTTCGTTTTAGAAAAGAGGAAATTGATGACCTGAGAAGGGAAGTAATCTGCTCAGCATCTTCCAGTTGGCTTGCTGTGTAGATAGATTTCAAATCCAGGTCTGTGGGTTCCAACTGTCCATGATCCTAACCCTCATGACCCACTGAGCCCGTGAGAGGGCACGTTCAGGAAGGGCTGGGATTGGAGTGGGCTGTCCAGAAAGGATGTGAGACGTATTACCACCACCCTATAAATCTGGAGCTGACTCCCCCGTTTTCTATGGTCCCCCTTTCCTGCCTGGCTGTTAGTCCTCTCAAGCCAGGACCTATTTCCCCTCAGGACTGATGTCAGCTCCCTTCTTTTTTTCTCTGTGTATCAGGCAGCGCTGAAAAATGCTGGAATCTTCATGGCACCTGCCGTGGGAAATGCGGCAAAAACGAAAAGTTCTTTCTTTTCTGCAAGAGCGGTAAACTGTGCTGCCTGAAGCTCAACTTCCAGCCGAATTTACCACTGAAGTCACTTAGTGCTTGAAGTTCGAGGGCACGAAAAAGAAGATAACCTTGCCCTGAGTCTGGCCTCAGTAGATTCCTGAGCTTTATTAAAACTCCATTGGCTGACTTCTGCATTTTTCTCATAATATGCCTTACTTATCAAACTCAAGCGGAAGAGGTGTGGGAAAGGAAGTATAGATAGGAGAGGAAACTGGACCTACTATGTGCTAGGTGCACACCTATTACCTCAGCTAATCCTTTCAGCCAATCCGAGAGGTAGATACTGTCATCACTTTTATTTTATGGATGGGGAAACTGAGGTTCAAACTGGTGAAGTGATTCACCCAGTGCCACTCACGTGAGTAACATGAGGACGTACTGGGACTAAATCCTGGTCTGCATATAGGCTTGCAAATAGCTCCTTGCCTCCTGGAATGTTGCCAGTATAAATAAAAATGCATGTTGTATTTATTTGAATCTCTCAAGTAAAAAGCTGGGGGTCGAGAGCATTACAGTGGGGTCCTGTTTTCTGGGATTGTTACAGAGGCTGAAGAGTTAAGCAGGAAACTGTTAACCCTTAGGCCTAATTCTTCCTCCCTTGCTTCTCTCTGTACATACTATTTTAATTTTTTTATATTTAGTTTAAAATTTTCCTCAAAACCATACATCCACTTAATTTTAAGAATCAACTTTGAATAAAAGACTATAATAAATATAGGAGTCACCCCTTTTCCTTCCTCCATTTCTTGCTCTCCAAAGAAAACCACTTTCACATCTCTTGGTTGTTTCTGTGGATTTTACTTCCATATCCACACATAATATGCGTATTTGTATCGTTAATTTCTGTTTTCAGTTTTAGGTATTATCTGTTGAATTCCTGCTATGGAAGATGAGAATTTGGCTATCTTCCATCTCCTTTGAATGTGTTCACAACCATTAGGTGCTTTATCAGTTTTATCTTCCTGGAGACCTTTCTCCCTGGGCACTTGGACCTGCTCCACTCTGAATTAGAAGCCTTACACCCGCGACCTTTTCGGATCTCCATTCACGTCATCTTAAGGATTCTCTTTGATTTTCTCATGAGATGAATGCCTTGCTTTCTGGATCCTAGGTCTTTCTTGACTTCCTCCTTTATTTTGGCAGAGCACCTCCTGGTAGCTTTCTGAAAATGTCTGACCTCAATGCACTAATCTCACACTTGCGTTAGTAGTTTGGTTGCCCATTCTCTACTAGAAATGGTTTTCTCTCAGAATTTTGAAGGCATTGCTGCATTGTGTTTCAACACCTAATGCCACCGTGGAGACATCTGAAGCAATTCTGAATCTCCTCTCTTTGTAGGTGATCTGTTATTTCTCTCTGAAAGCTTTTAAGATTTTCTCTTTAACTACAGGTTGTTGAAATTTCATAATGATTTGCTTGAATTTCTTTTTTTTTTTTTTTTTATTAATGTTATGATAGATTACAACCTTGTGAGATTTCAGTTGTACATTTTTGTTAGTCATGTTGTGGGTACACCACTTCCCCCTCTGTGCCCTCCCCCCACCCCCCCTTTTCCCTGGTAACCACCAATCAGATCTCCTTCTCAATATACTAATTTCCACCTATGAGTGGAGTCATATAGAGTTCGTCTTTCTCTGACTGACTTATTTCGCTTAACATAATACCCTCGAGGTCCATCCACATTGTTGTGAATGGGCCAATTTCGTCTTTTTTTATGGCTGAGTAGTATTCCATTGTGTATATATACCACATCTTCTTTATCCAATCATTAGTTTCTGGGCATGTAGGCTGGTTCCACGTCTTGGCTATTGTAAATAATGCTGCAATGAACATAGGGGTGCAACGGACTCTTGAGATATCTGATATCAGGTTCTTAGGATAGATACCCAGTAATGGGATGGCTGGGTCATAGGGTATTTCTATTTTTAACTTTTTGAGAAATCTCCATACTGTTTTCCATAGTGGCTGTACCAGTTTGCATTCCCACCAACAGTGTATGAGGGTTCCTCTTTCTCCACAACCTCTCCAACATTTGTCGTTCTTGGTTTTGGATGTTTTTGCCAATCTAACGGGGGTAAGGTGATATCTTAGTGTAGTTTTGATTTGCATTTCCCTGATGATTAGCGATGATGAACATCTTTTCATGTGTCTATTGGCCATATTCATATCTTCTTTTGAGAAATGTCTGTTCATGTCCTCTGCCCATTTTTTGATCGGGTTGTTTGTTTTTTTGTTGTTAAGTAGTGTGAGTTCTTTGTATATTATGGAGATTAACCCTTTGTCGGATAAGTGGCTTGTAAATATTTTTTCCCAATTAGTGAGCTGTTTTTTTGTTTCAATCCTGTTTTCCCTTGCCTTGAAGAAGCTCTTTAGTCTGATGAAGTCCCATTTGTTTATTCTTTCTATTGTTTCCCTCAACTGAGGAGTTACAGTGTCCGAAAAGATTCTTTTGAAACTGATGTCAAAGAGTGTACTGCCTATATTCTCTTCCAAAAGACTTATTGTCTCAGGCCTAATCTTTAGGTCTTTGATCCATTTTGAGTTTATTTTGGTGTGTGGTGAAAAAGAATGGTCAATTTTCAATCTTTTGCATGTGGCTGTCCAGTTTTCCCAGCACCATTTGTTGAAGAGACTTTCTTTTCTCCATTGTAGGCCCTCTGCTCCTTTGTCGAAGATTAGCTGTCCATAGATGTGTGGTTTTATCTCTGGGCTTTCAATTCTGTTCCATTGATCTGTGGACCTGTTTTTGTACCAGTACCATGCTGTTTTGATCACTGTAGCTTTGTAGTATGTTTTGAAATCGGGGATTGTGATTCCGCCGGCTTTGTTTTTCTTGCTCAGGATTGCTTTAGCAATTCGCGGTCTTTTGTTGCCCCATATGAATTTTAGGATTGTTTGTTCAATTTCTGTGAAGAATGTTCTTGGGATTCTGATTGGGATAGCATTGAATCTGTATATTGCTTTAGGTAGTATGGACATTTTAACTATGTTTATTCTTCCAATCCATGTGCAAGGGATGTCCTTCCATCTCTTTATGTCATCGCCTATTTCTTTCAAGAGAGTCTTGTAGTTTTCATTGTATAGATCCTTCACTTCCTTGGTTAAGTTTATCCCAAGGTATTTTATTCTTTTCGTTGCGATTGTGAATGGGATAGAGTGCTTGAGTTCTTTTTCTGTTAGTCTATTGTTAGTGTATAGAAATGCTACTGATTTATGCACGTTAATTTTATACCCTGCTACTTTGCTGTAGTTGTTGATTATTTCTAATAGTTTTTCTGTGGATTCTTTGGGGTTTTCTATGTATAAGATCATGTCGTCTGCAAACAACGAGAGTTTTACTTCTTCGTTACCTATTTGGATTCCTTTTATTTCTTTTTCCTGCCGAATTGCTCTGGCCAGCACCTCCAGAACTATGTTGAATAGGAGTGGTGAAAGTGGGCACCCTTGTCTTGTTCCTGTCCTCAGAGGGATGGCTTTCAGCTTTTGTCCATTGAGTATGATGTTGGCTGTGGGTCTATCATATATGGCCTTTATTATGTTGAGGTACTTTCCATCTATACCCATTTTACTGAGGGTTTTTATCATAAATGGGTGTTGGATCTTGTCGAATGCTTTCTCTGCATCTACTGCGATGATCATGTGGTTTTTGGTTTTCATTTTGTTAATGTAGTGTATCACGTTGATTGACTTGCGGATGTTGAACCATCCCTGTGTCCCTGGTATAAATCCCACTGATCATGGTGTATGGTCCTTTTAAGATTTTGCTGTATTCGGTTTGCCAGTATTTTGTTGAGGAGTTTTGTATCTCTGTTCATCAGCAAAATTGGCCCGTAATTTTCTTTTTTTGTGTTATCCTTGTCTGGCTTTGGTATCAGCTTGATGTTGGCCTTGTAGAATGACTTACGAAGTATGCAGTCTTTTTCAATTTTTTGAAATAGTTTGAGAAGGATAGGTATTAAATCTTTGAATGTTTGGTGGAATTCTTAAGAGAAGCCATCTGGTCCTGGACTTTTATTTTTTGGGAGGATTTTGATTACTGTTTCAATCTCTTTACTTGTGATTGGTCTTTTTAATTCTCTATTTCTTCTTGATTCAGCTTTGGCAGATTGTATGAGTCTAAGAATTTATCCATTTCTTCTGGATTTTGCAATTTGTTGGCATATAGTTTTCATAGTATTCTCTTATGATCCTTTGTATTTCTGTGGTATCGGTTAATTTCTCCTCTTTCATTTCTAATTTTATTTGAGCCTCCTCTCTTTTTTCCTTAGTGAGTCTGGCTAAGGGTTTGTCAATTTTATCTTCTCAAGGAACCAGCACTTGGTCGTTGATCCTTTCTACCATTTTTGTGGCTTCAATTTCATTTATTTTTGCTCTAATTGTTATTATTTCCCTCCTTCTGCTAACTTTGGGTTTTGTTTGTTCTTCTTTTTCTATTTCTGTTACGTGCAGTTTAAAAGTGCTTACTTGAGATTTTTCTTGTTTTTTAAGGTGAGCCTGTGTTGCTATGATTTTCCCTCCTAGGACCACTTTTGCTGCATCCCATGAGTTGGTGTGGTATAATGTATTTTCATTTTCATTTGTCTCCAGATATCTTTTGATTTCTCCTGTAATTTCTTCAATGATCCATTGGTTGTGCAGTACTATGTTGTTTAGCCTCCACATATCTGTCACTTTCGTAGCTTTTTTCTTGTAGTTGGTTTCTAGTTTCATAGCATTATGGTCACAAAAGATGCTTGATATGATTTCAGTCTTCTTAAATTTATTAAGGCTTGCCTTCTTTCCCAACATATGGTCTATCTTTGAGAATGTTCCATGTGCACTTGAGAAGAATGTGTATTCTGCTGTTTTTATATATGTTCTATTAAGTCCATCTGGTCTAGTTTTTCATTTAATTCCATTATTTCCTTGTTGACTTTCTGTCTAGATGATCTATCCATTGATCTAAGTGGGGTTTAGGTCCCCTACTATTATTATGTAGTAGTTCACTTCTCCTTTTAGGTTTGTTAATAGTTACTTTATGTACTTTGGTGCTCCTATGTTGGTTGCATCCAAATATGTATTTCTTATTGTAAATTACAATATCACAATGATCAATCTGTTGTTCAAAGTGGGGTTTTGAAGTCCCC